TGACTCTAACCTTCAGAAAGCTTTCGCCTAACATGGTGGTGCATGTCTTTAATCCCAGCACTTGGGAGGCAGAGGCAGAGGGATCTCTCTGTGAATTTGATGCCAGTCTAGTCTACATAGTGAGTTCCAGGGCAGCCAGGGCCATGTAGAGAGATTTTGTCTTAAGAAAGAAAAAAAGGAAAGAAAAGAAGGGTTAGCTTTGAATGGGGGCCACTGGTAAACTGGGTGAGGGCCAGGAATGGAAATTCTGAGGACAAATGAAATGTCCCAGGACAGAAACAAAGACACAGGGAAATGTGACGAAAGTACAGTGCTCTGTACTTGGACAAGTGGCCCTGTCCAAGTCCCAAAGTTAGCAGTACCCACTTTGAAAGCAGGCTGACCTGGGTTTAAATCAAGGCTTACCAACTGTGTGACCTTGGGCAGGTGACTTCGCCTCTGCGCACCTCAGTCTCCAGGTCTGAACGATGGGGTCACAGCAGCGCCTACCTGACAGGACTGTCGCTGCCGTCACATTTGTGCGGCCCAGCCAAGCGCGGTGGGCGCCCAGCAGCTGCTGCGGCTGTGAGTAATTTGTTACTAAGAATAGTTAGCGCCCCTCTCCGGGCCTGCGTCTCCGAGCTGGCCGCGCGTACACGGAGAGACTGGAACCCCGGCCCGAACGCGGGCTCGGACTAGACCCTAGTCTACCCCCCGGATCGAGCATCCCAGCCAGGCCCCCACCCCCACCCCCCCGCTCACCTGGGCCGCGGCGGCCCGGGGATGTGCTCATAGCGGCTGCGAGCGCGATGCACGAAGGTGCAGCAGAGGCCGAAGGCGAGCAGGACGGCGCTGCCGAGGAGCAGCAGCCCCGGGCTCATGGCTCCGGGCCCGGCCGGGTCGGCGCCGGGTGCCGAGGGGGCCGGAGGCCGCGACCGACTTGCTGTCAGCGCCGCGCGCCGCCTCGGCCCCAGGCCCCGCGCTCGCCAGCACCGCCCCCGCCGCTCGGCTCCGCCCCCACAGGCTCGACCCCGCCCCAGGCACGAGGACCCGCCAACCACGTCTCCGCCTCCGGCTTCAGCTCGCGGAACCCGCCCCCGAACAGCCACGCCCTCTTCGAGGCCCGGCCCCAGCCGCCACGCCATTCCCGCCCAGAGCAGGAAGTATTCACCAATCACGACCTCAGACTTCAAGGCCACGCCCCTTACCACCTCCCTTAGACACAGACTCCGCCCCGAGGTTGGCCCCGCCCAGAACGCGTTGTCCTGGCAACTTCGCTTCCTGGGCGCACGCTGCCCAGGCGGCGGCGCAAATCCAGCCCGCTGGCTCCGCCCCTTTGGCACCTCCAAATGCCTCTCCGCGTGCGTTCCAGGCCTCTTCGTTTCTCGCGCAAACCTTCTGGAAGCCCTACCCCAGCCATCCAGTCCCCGTCTTACGCTGACTGTTCCCAAACCTCTCCCTGGAACCGCAGCGCAACAAAGTTGGTCATCCCTAAACGTCCTTGCTCTGCGCCTCTACTGCGGGCCAGTGCAAGCCGTGTGCCCACCGTGCGCCTGCGTCCGCCCGGAGGCGGGATGCAGGAGTCCCCAGACCCGGAGAACCCCTGATCCTGACTGTGGGTAATGGTCCATAGAAGTATGCTGGTGTGTGCTCCACCTTTTCATCGATTGTGAGCGCGGAGCGCGCCTCCGTCTCACTTCCGAGTTTTAATTCCCGGCTGACGGGGGTGGGGTGGGGGGGGTGGAGTGGGGAGCTCAGTGTAGCCTGCAGTGGATGGGAGGTCCAGATGTGTACTCTCCTAGATAAGAAAAAGAGCCTAGGGGTTGGGGAGTGGGGGTTCTGACTACCTCAGAAGCAGCTGGATTTCCACCTTGGGTAGGTACTGGAGGAATTTGAAGACTGGAGAACAGGAGAGAGCTGTGTACCCACATTTCCAGGTATAGCAGGGCCAGACCCCAGGAGAGACATGGCAGAGGTGACAGCTTTAGAAGCTGTGCTCAGTACCGAAGATTTCGGGCTGGAGAGGCCACCGCAGCCTGTGCAGGTCCAGAAGCCAAGCGTCCGAACCCGATCTGGGTCGAAGAGATCTGGGGGACGTGGCTTACCACTGCGCCCTCGTGTGGTAGCGAGAGGCAGTCGCAGGTACGCAAATGGGACCTCGGATGGCCCCTGCTTGGGGGCAGAGGAAGGTCAGCCAATCTGGTTTAGCCATTTGGAAAGCTCCTGGGTTGTGTATGTAGGGGAGCGGGGGAAGTGGGGAGTAATGTGGAGGGAGAGGCGATGTGGAGGAAGAGACTGAGGCTTCGAAGAATGTGTAGACTTCTTGCATGCTTTCAGGTGAGTTGAATCTAGACAGAAAAAGGTGTGGTGAGGATCAAAAGTTCAAGGCTAGGTAGGCACGGTGACACACTATTTGATCTCAGCACTGAGAAGACAGAGCAGGCCAGGGCTACATAGACAGCCAGGGCTCCATGGAGTGTCTCAATAAAAAATAAATAAATAAATACAACCAAAAAAAAAAAAAAAACTAGGCCTTGAGAGTTCAAGGCCAGCTTGGGGAGCTTAAGAGTCCGTGTTAAGACTTTAAAAAGGGTGAGAAATCTCGGTAGTGGTAAAGTGTTTGTCTGTAAATATACAATGCAAGGTCCTGGGTTCACGCTCCAATGGGGGGGGGGGGCGGGCAGAGAGTATACATGGTCACTTTAAGTGGCCATTTATGTAGCCCCACCCTGAGCTTAGAGATCTCCCAAGCAGTGTGAAGCTAGCTTCGTGTTGCCTTGTCTGTCTGGACACTGAACAGAGACTCCCTGGAAACAAGGCCAGGTTCTGATGGGCTGTGAGCACTCTGAGCCCGTGCACACGGGAAAAGCTAAGCACATCAGGCAACACTTGGGACCTCTGGCTCAGCAGAGCCGGCTCACCCCACCATTTCTCCCCCTGTTCCTGGTTAGGGTGTGTCAGTGGTGACCCTGTCCAATCTGTTCCTGTGCCTCCATCCCCATCTGAGGCTCCTAACTCTCTAATTAGTTGAGGGGCTGCTTCACTAAGACTCTAGGTCACACTGCCTGCCACCTGGCCCTTCCCTGGGGTCTACACTAATACCACCCAATAAGGTAGCCACAGGCTAGATGAGATTACCAATTGAAAGAGTCACAGTCCAACTTGGGATAGGCATATGTGTAAAATACATACCAGATTTCAGAAATTTAATAGTCAGAATTTGTGCGTTCGTGTGTGAGTGTGTGTGCGCGCGCGTGTGTGTGTCTGTGTGTGTGTGACAGGAAAGGGTGTCAGGTGTCCTCTATCACTCATCCCTATTCCTTGGACACAGTTCCTCCATGAAACTGGGACTCACATATTCTCAGCTAGGCTAGAAGCCAGTGCTGTGGAATATTACTTCAAGTATGTAAAGATGTGCTGCATTTGTTTATGCTGCATTTACTTAACATTGTATGATGTGCTGCTTTGCCTGCCTAAGGCACCTGATTGGTCTAATAAAAAAAAACAGCCAATAGCTAAGCAGTAGAGGGATAGGTGGAGCTGGCAGGCAGGGAGAATAAGTTAGAGGAGAAATCTAGGAGAGAATGGGAGGAGAGAGAACAATGGAGAAAGAGGGAAGAGCTCAGGGCCAGCCAGGCAGCAGCCAGCCAGCCAGAGAGTAGAGCATACAGAAAGAAAGAAAGGTAAAAAGCCCCAAGGCAAAACATAGATGAAGAAAAACGGGTTAAATGAAGTTATAAGAGCTGGCAAGAAAGGAGCCTAAGCTAAGGCCGAGCATTTGTAACTATTAAAGTCTTGGTGTCATGATTTGGGAGCCCAACAGAAAGCCTGCTACAAGCCAGCAATCACCAACAATCTGCCTCTGTTCCCCCTTGGAGCTGGGTCACAGGTATGAACAGGATACCTGGCTTGTCTCTCTTCCCCCTTAGAGCTGGGTTATAGGTATGAACAGTATGCCTGGCATGTTGAGTGGTTGCTGGGATCTAACCACAGTCCTTGTGCAGTAAGAACTCTTAACTGCTGAGTCACCTTTCCCGTCTGGCTGAAGTTGCTTTTAAGTCACAAATACCTTTTTGTGTGCCTACACATTTGGAGATCAAGAAGACAGGCTTAGCTATCCATTCTCACCTCATCTTATTTTCTGGGACAAGCTTCCTCATTGACCTGGAACTTTATCAAGTAGCCTAGGCTAGCTGGCCATTGAGCTACCCAAGGGTTTGCCAGTCTCCAACTTCCATCTCACCATTGCTGGAATTTCAAGTGTATGCCACTATGCCAAGCCCTTTAGAAGTTATTCTTGGGACTGAGAGATGGCTCAGAGGTTAAGAGCACTGACTGTTCGTCCAGAGGTACTGAGTTTAATATAGATGGTGGCTCACAACCATCTATAATGAGATCTGGTACCCTCTTCTGGCCTGCTGGAATACATGCAGACAGATGCTGTATACATAATTAATAAATAAATCTTTTAAAAAAGTTATTCTTAAGTCATTGGTATTTAAGTATGTATGTGTGTATGAGTGTCTGTATATTTACATGGGTTCTGGGGGTCAAACGCAGGTTCTCCTGTTTATAAGACACTACCAATAAAGCCATCTCTCCAGCCCTAGTATTTTATATTGACTACCTGTTAAAATATTTTGGATATGTAGGATTAAATAAAATATTTCGAAATGAAGAGGGGCTGGAGAGACGGCTCGGCAGCTAAGAGCACTGAATGCCCTTCTGGATGATACAGGTTTGATTCCCAGCACCCACATGGTGGCTCATAACTACCCATAACTCCAGCTCCAGGGAACCCGATGCCCTCTTCTGGCCTCAGCAGAAACGAGGCATGAGCATGGTGCACAGACTTACATGCATGCACCAACACACATAAAATATTTTTGTGGGGTTTTTTGTTCGTTTGTTCTTTGTTTTGAGGGTTTGTGTAGCCCTGGCTGCCCTGGAACTCACTCTGTAGATCGTGCAGACTCTGCCTTCCAAGTGCTGGGATTAAAGACATGCACCATAACCGTCCAGCTGATAAAAATTTTTTAATTAAAGAATAAAAAATATTTTTGCTGTTTTAACATGGCCTCTGGAAACTGAATTGGCTCCATGGGTCACATCCTTCCATTGGATGGTGGAACCCAGACAGCAACCCCAGCACATGGCCCTTAGGTCACAGCAGTCCCATCACAGAGGAATTCAAGTAACAAAACCTAGACCTGAGTCAGAGGCAAGATGGGGCCCTGACAAGATGTGGTGTTCCTGCAAACTAGCACTGTAGATGCTCCCTGTCTTAGGGTTTCTGTTGCTAAGCCACTCAGGGACCAAAAGCAACTCAGGGAGAAAAGGGTTTATTGAAGCTTACATCTTGTAGTCCTTCATCCAGGGAAGTCAAGGCAAGAACGCAAAGCAGGAGCCTGGAAGCAAGAACTGATGTAGAGGCCATGGAGGAGCGCTGCTTGTTGGCTTGCTCCCCCGCGGTTTGCTACTTTCTTCCACCACCCAGGACCACCCGCCCAGTGGTGGCACCGCCCACAGTGGGCTGTGATCCTCCCACTTCAATCATCAATCAAGAACATGATCCACAGGCTTTCCCACATGCCAATCCGGTGGACTCATTTTCTCAACGGAGGTTCCCACTTCTCAAATGACTCTAGCTAGTGTTAAGTTGATATAAAAACTAGTCAGATCATCCCTCTATGGAGTGCCATTTCTCAGCAGGAACTGTCAGAGAGATTCGGCAAAGGTGAATCTGGAGCCACTGACTGAGGAAGATCGGGGATGGGGGAGGCACTGAGAAAAGACAGGGATGGGACAGGCATAGGGGAGACACTGAGGAAGGACAGGATGGGGGAGACACTGAGGAAGGACAGGCATAGAGCAGCCACTGAGGAAGGACAGGATGGGGGAGACACTGAGGAAGGACACAGATGGAGGATCCACTGAGGAAGGACAGGATTGGGGAGACACTGAGAAAGGACAGGATGGGGGAGACACTGAGGAAGAACAGGATGGGGGTGAGGAAGGACAGGCATAGAGCAGCCACTGAGGAAAAACAGGATGGGGGAGGCACTGAGGAAGGACAGGCATGGAACAGCCACTGAGGAAGGACAGGGAAGGGGGAGACACTGAGGAAGGACAGAATGGGGGAGCCACTGAGGAAGGACAGGAATGGGGGAAGCACTGAGGAAGGACAGGGATGTCACCAAATCAGAACTGAGATTTCTTTACAGAAGATTCATGGAACGCATCGGTTGCATCTGTAATGCTACCTTAAGTCCAGAAATCTTATTACCTCCATTTTCTCACAAGGCTCGGAGCAGTTAAGTGACTGGCTGTCCTCAGGCCACACAGGACTAGAAGCACCTTCTAGTCTAATGTAAAAGGTGGACACAGAGCCAGGCAATGGCAGCACAAGCCTTTAATCCCAGCACTACGGAAGCAGAAACAGGCAGAGCTCTGTGAGTTCGAGACCAGCCTGATCTACAGAGGAAGTTCAGGACAGCCAAGGCTAAACAGAGAAACCTGTCTCAAAAAGCCAAAACAACAACAAAATAATAAAACAAAGGTGGACAGAGGTGTCTTCGGAGTTGAAGGTTGAAAGAGCTGTCTCAGCTAATCCTGACAGACCCAGTATACCTACACAGCATACTGTCATCCACGCTCAAGCCTCTCCCTCTAATCAATAACCAGAATAGGACTGTACAGAAACTCTGCACCTCGACCTGGAACTGCAGAGCGAAGACACACAGGACACGGGCTCCACGGCTCTCGGGCACTGCACGGCTTTGCTCCAGGAAGCGATGTTTTCTTTTTCTGTCATTTCCTTAACAGTTCAGGAACTTTCTTATTTATTTCAGAGGACAACCAGTGTGGAGAGGGGCAGAGCGGCCAGGGTGAGCCTCAGCTCCCTTTCAACAGGTGGTGAACAGGAGCAGACATCTGAGCCAGCGCCAATTCCCCTGCCTGGAACACGGCACGGGCCTGTTCAGACCAGAACCCAGTGCGGGAATGACAGAGTTGGGCCACCAAGCTCATCCAAAGCCCTGGCCACAACTGCCTGACACAGGACACATCCTGTCCTCCCTGCCTGGTGACTCGTTTGTTTCCCTGGCTCTACCCCTAGCTGAAGCTAAGTTACAGCTATCCGCACCTGGCACGGAGCCACCGGTGAGGCCTTCTTCCATGAACAAGGAACTCTCTTCCCACAGAGCCCGAAAGAAGCTGCAGGCCCCGCCCTCTTTGCTCTGCCCCCTCATCTTGCATCCCAGTTTCCAGGTGTGTGGCAGGTGACAAGAGGAGGGAGGGAAGGATTGCAAGGAGTTGAATTGTTGACACAGCCGTGATGAGTAGTCTTGACAGTCTGAAGGCTTCTTAGCCCATAGATGGGGCAGGGGGTATCTGAGGATCCCCTGGGAGTCTGAGGATCCCCTGGGAGGTGATGAGGTTAGTAAGGTGATAAAAGTAGACCCCACCATCTCCAACTGGAGCCCAGAGGTTGAACAGAAGCTTAAAGGTGCTTCTGTCTCATGAATAGGTGACAGTGAGAGTCTTCAGGGATGGAGGGGACCCAGTAGCCTGTCCAGGGTGCCTGCAGAGCGCAGCAAGTGGCCTTCGAGGTCCTCCAGGCCCTCTAGTCCACCTTCTGTCATGAACGCTTGATTCCCTTCAGCAGCCTGATTCCTGGTGTATGGCAAAGGCCCCCTGACCCTATAAGATTCTCCGCTCTGGCTTTCAGGCTGCTTGCGGTGCCTCTGACTGCCGCGTCACCTGCTCACACTGACCATGTTTCTCCGACCACGTTCCTGTCGATATGGAGCCCTTTCCCTCAGTCTAACACTGTAAAGGCAGCCAGCCTCCCTCATCAAGTGCTGTTCCGAAAGAGTAGCTGCCCTCACTCTCAGAACTGCTGAGAGGTAAGAGATCTTATCCACAAACCACACACACACACCCAAGGGAGACACAGAGGTCATATGCAGATGAACCTCCACCACGGCAGGTGTGCGCTACCTGGGGTGCCCACAAACCAAAGGGGCATTCCCGGCTCTATCCTCCCAGGGTGGCACAGTCAGGTAGATGAGGCCAGGCTACAGGTCCGGGTCTCGGTGGCTGCATTCGACACCAGCGTCCTCTTCGTGCTTGCAGTTATGCGTGCCCACGCCAGCGTGCGCGCACTCCAGCAGGTTGCGCTCACTGCCCGTGCAACGCACGTCGTCCAGCAAGATTGGTAGCGCGCGACCTTCGCCGAACTCCGCGCGCTTGACTGCTCGCACCGCGTACGCAAAGCCCAGCTGGCGACACACCACGGTGGCCGCTTTGGTGTCCCAAGCGTCATCGCACACCGTACCCCAGTGGCCTCCTACGAACACTTCCACGCGCCCGCGGCCGGGGCTCAGGCCGGCGGGCCGTACCAGGCGCACGGAGCCATTCTGGGGCGCAGGGACCGCGGTGCTGGGACGTCCCCGCCGTCGCCCGCCTCCCTTCCGGGCCCCTGGTCGTCGGGTGGGCCGTGCGGGCTTTGTGGGACGTATGGTGGGTGCCGGAGGAGCAGCTGTGGGGCGCTTGCGGCGGGGCGCCTTAGTTGGGGCTCGGGCCGTGGGGCGCGGAGTGCTCTCTGGTGTCCAGATGAACTCTGCGCAGAGGAAAGGCCTGGGGTCAGAGGGAACCTAGCCTAGCTCAGCTATCCACCCGTGCAACCCAGCCTGTGCCAGAAAACCAATCCTAAGGAAAGATGCCTGGTCTGGTTCCACTCAGACCCTAAGATTATGGTGCCTTTTTGGTGGGCCAACTGGGTTTGACGGATTACCCTGACCTCTAAGGATGCAAGCTCTGTCAGGCACTTCTTCAGTCATTCAGCAAGCCCTGGTTGGCGGGCAAGCGCTTTGTCCAGTCCCAAGTTCTGCCCTCCCAGGAGTTCCCAGGCTAGTGGGAAGATCCCGAAATTCAGGCACAGTAAAGGAGATGTCTAGACAGTTTACAGGAGCAAGGGACTTATTGCTTCCTGCCCTCAGTTTTCGATGAGGAAACTAAGGCCAGAGTGATGGAAGCTAGCAATAGCTTCAGAATGAGTCTCAGTACAGTCAGGGCTGCATAGAGAAACCCTGTCTCGAAAAGCCAAAACAAAACAAAGAAGATTGGCAAGGGCCCATTGCACTGTGGGTGGTGCCAACCCTGGGCAAGTGGTCCTGAGTTATATATAAAAAAAAAGTAGGCTGAGCAAGCCATTAGCAAGCAAGCCAGTAAGCAGTGTTCTCCATGGCCTCTGCATCAGTTCCTGCCTCCAGGTTCCTGCCCTGACTTCCCTCAGTGATGGAGTGTGGCCTGAAAGTTGTAAGCAGAAATAAACCCTTTGTTGCTTTTGATCATGGTATTTTATCAAGGCAATAGAAACCCTAACGAAGACAGATGGATTGCTGGATGGATGATAGCTAGGGGAATGAATGGGTCAATGGATGGATACTGACTAGATGGATAATGGCTTCCTAGATGAATGGTGGCTAGCTGGCTGGCTGGCTGGCTGGCTGGCTGGCTGGCTGGCTGATGACTAGATGTATGGAATAGATGAATAGACAAATAATGGCCAGGTGGATGCTGGGTGGTCAGGTGGGTAGATGGATAGATGGATGAATAGATTCATGAGCAATTGGATGATCTGATGGGTAGGGAGATGAATTGATGTTTGGATGGATGATGATGAATGGATTTATGATTGAGTGGATGGATAGTAGATGGATGAACTGACAGATGAATGGATGAGTGGATGGTGGATAGGTATATTAATGGATGGGTGGACAAGTAGGTAGATGGATAGGTGGATCGATGAATGGATGGGTTCATGGATGACTATTTGTGAGTGAATGAATGGCTGATGTGTTGACGGATTGAAGGTGGATGAATGGGTGAGCTGATGGGCAGACAAATGGATTTACTTCTTCTCTTGTTATGCAAAAGATCTTACTATCCCAAGCCACTGTTCCCAATGGAACAGTCCCCTCTACCCTTTCACAAGACTCTATCCCAGGCAGTTATTCACAGCCTTGAATGGCCTTCAGAGCACAGGGTTTACTCATGGCTCCCTCTGTCCTGAACCAAGAGGGTTAAAAGTGCTCCACCCCCTTACAGATAAGACATCCTCTCTGTGTGCTCCTCCCAAGAACTCTGAGCATCCCTTGCTTGATACAGCTATCCTCTTCTTGCCACATCCTGCCTGAGGCTGCAGCCTCCTACGGTTGCCTTCACTGCCTGGGACCTGGGTGAAAGATCTGTCGAGCAAGATGCATTGTGCTTGCAGGTCCATGAACACTGGCTGGGGGTCTAATAGGTGTCAGATATGGTGCTAGGTACAGGGGCTATGGAAGCATTCTAGGTCCTTCTGGGGCCCCGCCTGACCTGAGGGGTAGCAGGAGTTCTCCCACTAGAGAACACTTACTTTCCTTGGGCACAAAGGGGATGAGACGACTCTTCACCGCCACCTGAGCAGGCTGTATCTTACACTTCCCCGGAGGCGCCCGTCTGCCAAACACACACACAAGATCAGGACTGGGAGTCAGCCTTGAGCATCCTGCACCCTCGCGCTGTATCCTCCCACCCCATCACCTTCCCTTGCAGCGAGGCAAAGAGGGTAGGGGCCAGACAGGTGTGATCAGAGCCGTAACTAGTGTCCAGGCACTGAACACCTCTTACCAGGGGCCCTGCAGCACCCCGCCCCTCTGAAGCCCCCCACTCCACATTGCCCACCGTGATCCTTTGATGCCTCATTCCTGCCCACCCCTTCTACCCCAGGCTTTGAGAAGTCTCTCTCTCTGCCTCTAGTTTCTGGGTTTCTGATGGCACATAGGACTGTATGGAGAAATATGGAGCTAGTTAAGGCAAGCTAAAAGACTTAGTGCTCAAAAGGGAAGAGTCGTGGGAAGCTGACTTCAGCAGGCCCAGCACAGCCCTGGGGACTGCAGTTCAGAGAAAAGAATCAGAAAAGTTGCCAGGCTGTGAACAGCCTCCTTCCTTCCCCATCCTGCAGAAACACAAAGACCAGAATTCCATCTTAATTAGTTTTTGGCTGTTGATCTGTGATTCTTTGAATGGGTCCGACCCTGTTCCCAGACTGCCCCACGTGGGCCCAGGACTTCAATGGGGGTTCCGACAGCCTGGGATTGAAATAGCCACATGATGAGGTAGCCTCCTGATAGACTTGGCAGAGGAGGGGACATGTGCTTCTGCAAGCCATACAGACTTCTCAAAGCTGGAGGTGTAGCCATTTCTATTCTGACCTCCCATTGGGTAAGCAGAGGAGGGTGTTGTCTCTTAAGGAAATTAATTTTTAATTAAATCTTTGTACGTTACATTGCAAAACACCACAGTGGCTCTGTTCGGGCAGTGAGCTGTGGCCCAGGACCTTCCTCCCTGTCTTCCTTTTCCACATGTCTGCTACCAGGCCCCTGAGGTGTGGCTGCCAGAAAACACACTTCTTCCAAAAGACATAAATAAAAGGGAGGACTTCTACCCATTTCTGCCTGCCTCTAACCCCAAAACCTTGAGGAAAAAAGTCAAAGTCCTGCTGGCTGCTCTCCTCATAATGCAGGGACAATGAATCAAGAGGGAGGGTGTCGAAAAATCAAAGACCAGGAGCAGCTAGGGTGACATCTGGCAGGAATTAGGTGTTTAGTATAAGTGACAGGTCCTTAGAGAATCATTCTTTTTTTTATTTGTTTTTCTTTATGTGTGTGAGTGTTTTGCCTACATATATGTCTGTGCGCCACATGAGTGCAAGACCAGCAGAGGGCTCTGATTCCTAAAACTGGTTCCAGATAACTGTGAGCTGCCATGTGGATGCTGGGAACCTAACCTAGGTCCTCTGGAAGAGCAGCCAGTGTTCTTAGTCGCTGAGCCAGCTCTCTAGCTCCAGTGTTTGTTTGTTTGTTTCTTTCTTTCTTTCTTTCTTTCTTTCTTTCTTTCTTTCTTCCTTTTTTCCTTTCTTTCTTTCTTTCTTTCTTTTTTTCTTTCAGTGAAAATAGCATCAGCTTCCAAGAACTGTGAAAGATGATGATGGCTCAGTGACTCAGCAGACCATGGCTAGCATCCCTTTGAGAGTGATGATGGTACCATGTGATGATCCTCAGAGACAAGCAAATGAGATGAGTGCGAGGCTGACTGTGGTCCAGGTATGAAGTCACCAAGATGAAAGCGGATGGGAACTTGTGGAAAACAAGATGTAGGTATATAACTGGAGAAAGCATGCTTATGGCTTTGTGAAAAGAAGTTACATCATGACCCAGGTGGCGGTGGTGCACGCCTTTAATCCCAGCACTCGGGAGGCAGAAAAAGGCAGATCTCTGTGAGTTCGAGGCCAGCCTGGTCTACTGAGCGAGTTACAGGATGGCCAGGGCTACACAGAGAAAGCCTGTCTGGAAAGAAGAAGAGGAGGGGAGGAGGAGAGGGATAAGGGGGAAGGGAAGGGGGAGGGGAGGGAAGGAGAGGGAGGAGGAAAGGATGAGGGAGGAGGAGGTGGAGGAAGAGAAGTAGTTATGTCACTAACTGATCAATTTGTACTTCTGTAAGTCATGAAACAACACACACTGTGGTGAGGAGCAAGGAGTCTGAGAAGCTCTCACTTTGGCCTGGAAACAATAAGAGTGATGAAAACATGTTGATTAAATGAGATGTGGGGTCCTGAGATCAAGAAGAAACATATAGGGGGCTGGAGAGATGGCTCAGTGGTTAAGAGCATTGCCTGCTCTTCCAAAGGTCCTGAGTTCAATTCCCAGCAACCACATGGTGGCTCACAACCATCTGTAAAGAGGTCTGGTGCCCTCTTCTGGCCTGCAGACATGCACACAGACAGAATATTGTATACATAATAAATAAATAAATATATATATGTATATATATAAAAAGAAGAAACATATACTGGGCATGAGAGCATCTGAGAGTTAGAGGCCTGAGGGCTCAAAGCTAGCCTAGACCACACAAGACCTTGTTTTTTAAAAAAAAAATGCAAAAGAAAAATGAAACAAAAAAGAAAAAAAGGGGGGGAACTAAAGCAATCTTCATAAAACCTGAGAGACCCTGGTAGGTGGTGTGTACCTGTGATCCCAGCCCTGAGGAGCTGAGGCAGGAGGATTGAAAATCTCAGTCCAGCCTAGGCAACATGACAAGATCCTATCTCAAAACAGCAAAGCAGGCACCAGGGAAATGCTTCAGTGGATAGGCGCTTTCGTGCAAGCCAACAACGTTAAGTTCAGAGCTGCAGCACCCATGCAGAGTTGGCTACAATCCCACATCCATCATCCTAGCCATCCAACCACGAGATAGGTGACAACTAGGAGAATGGTCCAGAAAGGCTTGGGCCTGCTAACCTGGAGACTAAGAACTGAGAGGTGTCCTCTCCGTGGCATGCCATGTGCTTACCTGCGCTCACATACATCACACACACACAGAAGGGGAGTTAAAATCAGGTGTGGTAGTACACTTCTTTAATTCCAGTACTCAGGAGACCTAGGTAAGTGTGTTCAAGGCCAGTCTGGCATACATAGAGTTATAGGACATCTAGAGCTACATAATAAAGAGAACCTGCATCCAAAAAAGAAAGCTAATCCAGGGGTCTGGGGAGAGACTCAGTGGAAGCACTTATGGCACAAGAGTGAGGACTGGAGTTGGGAACCCAGCACTCCTGTAAATACAAGGTGGGCATAGCAACCTGTTTGTAATCCAAAGAGCACACAGGGAATCCCTGAAGCCAGCTGGCTAGCCAGACTAGCAAATTATGAGCTCTGGGTTCAGGAGAAAGACCCTGCCTCAATATATAAGGTGGAGAAGAAAAGAGGGAGACACCCAACCTTGCTGACCCCTGGCCTCCACATGCACACCCCTACATGTGCATCCACACACATGCAAACACATACAACACACACACACATACACACTGACAATTACCTGTTCAAGAAAATGCCCCTCCAGAAGCCATGCGTTTAGAGACTTATGAAAATAAAAAAGACCTCCCCAAACATTAGGCCGCCACAATGGCCCCCTTGCCGTTGCACACTTTCAACCCGTGAGAATGTGCATTACACATTGACCTTTCTGGCCACTCTCCCTCTGGATTAGTGTTCTCCTCGGCAATGGCACCACTAACTCCTGGAAGTGCCTTCTGCTGTTCTGTAGTCAACATTGTCTTCTACGCAGACAGCAACACAAAAATAAACTGGAGAGGGGCTGGAGAGACAGCTCAGCAGTAGTTAACAGCACTGACTCCTCTTCCAGAGGACCTGGGTTCAATGCCCAGCATCCACATGGCGGCTCACAACTGACAGGAACTCCAGTTCCGGGGATCCAACATCATCACATAGACATACATGAAGGGAAAATGTCAATGAACATAAAAGTAAATAAATCATAATAAAAAATTTTAAAATGAACTAGAGACATAATTCAAGACCTTGTGTATTCTAGGCAAGCCCTCGACATTCCTAGTCTGTCCAACACTCTCTCTCTCTCTCTCTCTCTCTCTCTCTCTCTCTCTCTCTCCCTCTGATCCCACTAAATTACCTAGGCTAGTTTTTAACTCTCAGAAGCTGACCTCAGACTGGCAGTCTTCCTGCCCTACTCTCCTAAATAGCTGGGGTTACAAGTATATACCCCTATGCTGGCTGAAAATCACTTTCTTATGTTCAGTATGTGTTTTAAGATTTCTTTACACTTAGTGTGTCTCAAAGTTTAGGGTCATTGGCTACTCTGAGGGAGAAGCCAAGAATCTGTAGGCTGAGAAGGGGGTTCCAGGAAAATTATCATTCAGTCATTCATTAAACACACCCTAGTGTCTGCTCTGCAGCATTCCCAGAACCCGAGGGGTGTGACGGAATGAGGAGACACAGCCTTCATCCTAGAGACTCTGGACAGGTGAGATGCCACGGCCAAGTGACGACAACAGAAAGAGGACCAGGTAGGATGGGAGAGCAAGTGCTTCAGGGAAGGCACCTAGAGGCTACAGGGTGATACCCATGAGGCACACTGCCAATTAGGGCCGGTTAGGGGCCCTGGCTTCATTCGTACAATGGGGAGCCGAGAGGGCTTTGTACACAGAAGGAGCTTGGGTAGGCCTTGAACCAAGGAGGGAACGTCACAGCAAAAGCTGAAGCAGGGAGATTGAGGCGGGGATGTGGGTGTAGGAGGAAGAAGGGGAACTTACTGTCTGCAGTAAATCCATTGTCTCTTGCTAGCCTGTAGTGCAGGGACTCACCTGGAGGGGTCTGTCACTTTGTAGATGACCCCGCGTGCGGCTGTGGCACTGGGCACGCCCGTGGACATGAAGTACAGCTCCCCTTTAGATGGGAAACAAGGCAATGAGAAAAGTGTCTGCAACTCAATGGAGACAACTCTGTCCCACCCAGGCTGCCCTCGGGCTCAAAGGCTGACCTCCCATCCCCACCACCAGCCCTGAGGGGGTGTTGGGGCCACCTATCACCTCAGCATGCCTTTGTCGTCTGTGGCACAGTACCCAGGTGTCTCATCCTGCTTAGGCCCATAGATGGAGGCTTCCACCTCCATCCAGCACTGCCCTGCTCCCTGCTTCAATGGGGTTCAACCAGGCCTATTCTGATGGCTATGATCATCTGGAAGCTGGGTCCCTATGTCCTATGTATGCACAAGGACAATGCTGAAGCTGCCAGTGCTGCCTAGGGTGGTCCTGTCCTCTTGGTCTCTGTGCTGTGAATGCCTCTGGGGTCCACAGAGGTCCTTGTAACATCATTTGATGTGTCCAAAGCACACCTAGAGAGCCTGGAGCTGGAAGAGGCTGTTTTGACCCAGCTGGCAGCACTGATATTTTACACGATCCAAGGCCAGCTCACTGCGCCTCCTCGTGGTTCGGTCACTCTGTGTCACTCAAATGACTGAGAAGGGCCCTTGAGAACTGCACCTTCCTTCAGACTCTGCACTGGGGAGGGGAGATGCTACTTCTAAATCATGTTAGCCCCCTACTGACCAAAAGAAAAGGCTTCCAAGGGCTTGGTGAGCTTAAGAATCTCTGTGGGGCCTGGGGGGTAGGGGGAGGCTGGGGCTGCTCTTTGGGAAACTCACATTCTAAAGGGGGTGGGGGAGTGTCAGTTCAACAAAGGTTTCCCAGACTAGGCCCTGGGGGCTGTGGGCACTGGGCCCTGCAGGGGATACCCCTCCAAAGGCTGTGGTGAGTGTGAGCGTTGCCTGGAAACTTCAACAAGCTTGCACCAGCGCCTTCTGGGGGCCCCTGGCCTTTTGTCTGGGAACAATCCCAGGGCCAAGGACAAAGGCAGGAGACTGGAGTGGGATCCAGCCTCTGTGGTCCCTTTTCTCCCTTCCCCCTCTGTCCCCTACTGGGAATGTGAGCTCCAGGAACAGGCTAGGACTAGGCTGTGCCTGCATGCTCTAAAATGTCAGCTTGGTTCCCTCAGTAGCTCAGACACTCTGCCATCAGGAACCCACCTCTTCTCTCACCTGCCTAAAACTCCATACTGCAGGTCTTCCCCGACCCTGCTAACGCTGGGGACTTGTGCCCATTACATCTTTAGCTCCCCCATCAACACCGCCGTGGGGGTGGAGGACAGTTGCTTCCAGATAAGAAAAGGGAAGCTCGGGACAGAGGGTCTAGGGCTGATACAAGAATGCGCGTGGGAAAAGACCAAGCCCCAGAACACGCCCTTCCCCAGGATGAAAGTCATTTCGTGCTTGAGCTTCTTTAACGGCAGAAGCCAGAAAGATGACCAGGGCTGGTGGCTGGTGACAGTGCCAAGCACGGGCAAAGGATGGCGGGGTCTCGGGATGCTCACCGGCCTCATCCTCTGCAAAGGAGATAATATGTGGATAGTAGTTGTTGATGAGGCCTGGGAAAGCACATGTCTGCCCCCGGCCCATGCAGACCTCACTGTACTTCCACTGCCCGGTCTCTGGGTTCTCGCGGAGCGACATCAGTCGCCTGCAAAGAAAGATAAACTATGAGGTCATGGTTAATGTGCTGCACAAGGGAATCCATCTATCCACTCGTCCACCCATTCATCCACCTGTCCATTTACTCATCCTTCCATTCATCCGTCTTTGTATTCCTAAGAATGGCCCGGATTTTCTCCCTGAGGAAAAGACCTGTTTGGCCCACTTCTAAGCAGAAACATACAAACGCGAACTCCTTTTACCAGTTAGGAAGAGTGTAGGCCACTTACCCACTCATGAAATCGCCAAAAATGTAGAGGCCGTTGAGGTTGGGGTACTCGCAGCCCCGGTACACATAGCCCCCAGTGACTGATTTGCCCAGCTTGTGAGGGTAGGCGAAAATCGGCAGCACATCATCTGAAGGGCGGGTGAGAAAGTGGGTTCATCCTCCAGCCTAGTGCTTCACAGACAGTCCTGAGCCACGCACGGAGATGGCGTGGTCTGAGCGAGAAAAGCTCTCAAAGGGGCATAACCGTATTTTTAGGGGTTCAGCAGGAGGTGCATGGTGAGGAGGAACCTAAAATATTGCTCGAAGGGAGCCCCGAAGTATAGGGAGGTAGGAAGTGGGAAAAGTCAGTCCTGTGATAGAGGCAGGGGACAAAGCTATGTGGAGGTGGGGGAGATGGGGAGATGGGTTCCAGGAAGGAAGCGAGGCAGGAGGGTCCCCGTGAGGTGGGATCTGGATTGGAGTTTCCCTGAGAAATGGGGCAGATCTCGATCTATGGACCCAGGGAGGAGGGGAGATGGCGGATAGGTTTAGGGTTCTGGAAGAATGCTGATCCGAGTCGGGAAGTCCCCAGGGTGATGGGATGGGACGGACTGGATCCATGCTGAGGGTCTGCGCAGGAGAAAGATCTAACGGGGGGGGGGGGGGGGGGGACCAGAGGGATCCTATTTGAAGGTCCCCAGGGACGCGGTCACCGAGGGAGGCGTTGGCGCACAACTTGCGATCGTAGCACTCGAAGCCCTCGCGAGCACGCCAGCCGTAGTTGCGGCCTCTCTCCACCAGATCCACCTCCTCGTACTTGTTCTGGCCCACATCCCCACAGAACAGGCGCCCACGGCCAGTGCCAGACATCGGGTCTCCGCGGTCGAAGGAGCAGCGCCACATGTTGCGCACTCCCAGGGCGTAGACCTCGGGCCGCGCTCCGGGGTCGTCCACGAACGGGTTGTCGGGAGGGATGCGGTAGAGCGGGCCACGCTCGTTGCGGTCCACGTCGATGCGCAGCACCTTGCCCAGCAGCGCCGACCTGCGGCCGGGGCGGAGAACGCCGGCTGGTTACACTGGGTCCGCGCAGGGGGCAGGGACGGTGAGTCCAGCCCTGCTCGGCCATCTGCACCAGCCCTCTGCACACCCTCCTGCGTGTCTGTCCCGCACTGGCTGAGCAGCTCTAACTGCTGGAAGCTCTAACTCGCCACCTATCGCTGCACTGCCTCCTCACAACTGACCTTTCAGGCCAGAGCTGTCCTTTATAGAGGAAACCCGAGCTAGGATAAGCCGCCAACCAACCTGGTCCTAGAAACCCAAGCTCTTCACCACAACCGTCTATGGAATGCCGATATTCTAAGCTATAATATTGTGGGTGCTTCTGTTCACGTAGTTATGCTATAAAGTGAAGATTGTACTAGAAAGAATATCTCATATTTACGTTTTTCTCAGTCAGTCAGGTGCTCCCACATAGCAGGGGTCCACAAAGTGCGGATATATCAAATAGTACCAAGTATAGTTGAGGGAGAGGGAACACGTGCTCTAACCTCCTGGCGGCTCTGGCGGGGAGGGGGAAAGTAGCTGATGGCTTCATTGATCACATGACCAAAGAGATTTACAATAGGAAACATCTAGATGGTTCTCAACCTGTGGGGTGTGACCCCTTGGGGTAGAATATCAGATATTTACATTATGATTCGAAACAGTAGCAAAGTTACAGTTGCGGAGTGGTAATGAAATTATTTAATTTTATGGGGGGGAGGTCATCACAGCATGAAGAACTGGATAGAAGAGTCACGCCATTAAGTAAGTTGAGAACCATTGACCTAAAAGATACCTGGAGTTAGCAGGATGGGAGCAAAGCTTTTCAAGGTGGTTCCTGCTGTGCCTACTCAGGGCATCCTTCGCCCTCTGTTAGCACATGGGCGCTGACTCCTCCCTCCAGCCTGCCCAGCAAGGCAGAGTTGATGCAGCTCACTTAGGTAACACATTTGTGTACCTGTCACTGAGACATAGCACTAGAACCCCAGTGTTTCTCTCACAGGTGTCCTGTCATAGTGATAAACAGGCCAGTGGCAATGGTTCATCCCTGTGACCAGGCACTCCAGGCCGCCCCAGCCTTCACATCCCACATTCAGCTCCAGGATCTACAGACAAAAACTCCTAGCAGCAAAACGATGCCCTTCCCCCCTCCCCCAAGACAAGGTCTCTCTGTGTTGCTTTGGAGCCAGTCCTGGAACTAGCTCTTGTAAACCAGGCTGGCCTTGAACTCACAGAGATCCGCCTGCCCCTGCTGAGTGCCAGGATTAAAGGTGTGTGCCACCATTGCCCAGCGAAAATGATGCTTCTAACTTCAGCTCAATTATCCAAGAACCCTCATCTTGTTCTTCAGCTTCAGCTCCGAGCACATGGCCAACATGAAAAGATGGGATATTTCTCACTGTCAAACAGGGATGCACAAGCCACAAACCGTAATCCGTACACCTTCACTACTGTTACTTTCTGGGCCAAGAGAGACTGTGCATTTGGGATAGGAGAGCTGGCTTTGTGGTTGGAGGCTGGTTCTTCAATCTGGACTCCCTGCACACCCCTGTGCGCATGCACAATTCTCCATGTGTGTTTATGTTCATGCATACACACTCATGAGAGGAGGGGGCAGGCCATTTGCTCAAAACAGGAAATAGGGAAATTACAATGAGATTGTACTCAGCAAAAAATAAATAAATAAATAAATAAATAAAAGAAGAAAAGAGATCGCACTCAGTTTCTGGATCTCTTATGAAAGTAAGAGACTGACTCTAGCTGCCCCTTTGTCATGGGAGTACCTGCCTGACCCCAGCAAGGCCCAGCAGGCCAGAGCTCACCTTGGAGAAAGTCCCATATTCCCAAAGGGTCACTGCTGTCACTTCTCTGGTATCTACGACAATAGGCACTTTCCTGATCCTTGACAACCACTGACACCTCCTTTCCTCATGGCAGTCTCCCACTGAGCTTGTCATTGTCCTCGCTAATCAATGGGGGTAAGTGACTTAGCTGGGGTCCCAGCTAACTGAGGTTACCACCCTGCTCTGTGGTAGTGGCAGCAGCTCTCCCTCCAGAAACACAAGAAGTTCTGTGTGCAAACCGGTGCCCCAGCCGAGCAGAAGCAGGGCATACTTGTTTTGCGCATTTCCAAACTTCCCAAAGGGGTCTCCGGCCATCCCGCCATCTCCAGTAAAGATGTAGAGGTAGCCGTCATCCCCAAAAAGCAGCTGGCCCCCATTGTGATTGGAGGCTGGTTCTTCAATCTCCAGGATTATCCTAAAGAAAGATAAGTACCTGCTCAATAAAAACATCTTCCAAATAGTAACCCCAGACAAGAGTAAAACCTTCTCTCAGATGCCATTCCGCAGTGGGAAAGGCTTTCTCTCTCTTGTAACATGTTGTTTTTCACAACCTACAGGTAGGTTGAGTAGGGATCATTCACATCACTGTGTCAAGGAAGGACCTGGATGCTGGAAGAGGCCAAGTGGTACCCATTCAAGGGCACAGAGGCCATCAGCATCAGAGCTGCAGCCAGGACCCTGGACCAGTGTTTTTCAACTGCTTCCCACCCCTGGTACCCGATGGAAGCTTGTCATCTTCTCCATTGCCATATCTTGTTTCCCACTGGTGAATCAGAGCATGGTTGACATGCTCCATTGGCTATTAGTGACGAACTGTTCAGGACAGTGGGATGGACCCTTTATCCACACCCCCTGGGACCTCTTGACTGCCACTGGAAGAAACCTTCCCAGTCAGCTGGCTTTCCATCAGGACTTGCCACGGACGGGGGAAAGCAGGAGGAAAGGAGACACTGCCATTCTGCCTTGAGAAGCAGCAGGTATAATGACATGAGAGTGGCCACTGTGGACATCTCAGCCAGTGGCAGAACTCAGCCACACAAACTCCTCCAGTTGGTTCCTCTGCCCCAGCAGCTACCGCATACCACCGCAGCTGGTGACCTTAGGTCACTGGCCCTTCCCCACCCTTTTGCAGCCCTCTCTTTGCCAAGTGGTTAACCCCTGTACTAATCCCCCCAAAAAATGGGTCCCAGAATAATCCAGGTTCAACAGGACCAGCCACTGCACTGACCTCATTGTCAGTTATGAAAGCAGAACAGGAAAAAAACACAAAAACAAGACACAGAGTCAAAGCCTTTAGACCCCCGTCTTGAGTACTTCCTTCATCATCAACACCGGAGTGTTTCCATGGGGAGGTTGATGCATATGACCCTTACAGAGCCCCAAGCTCAGAGTCATCAAAGCAGAGGACAACGCAGTCTGTGGGTCACCCATGTGCCATGTGTGTGCAGGTATCCTCAGAGGCCAGAAGAGAGCCCAGATCTGCAGGTATTGGAATTACAGGTTGTTATGAGCTGCTCGGTATGGGTGCTGGAAACTGAATTCGAGTCCCCCAGAAAAGGAACAAATGCTCTAACTATAGAGCTCCCTCTTCCATTCCAGGATGTTTGTTTTTATGCAGGATTTCCCTATATATCCCTGGATTCCCTGGAAGCCCTAGAACTCACTGTGTAGACCAAGCTGGCCTTGAACTCACAGGAATCCACCTGCTTTGGACTCCATAGTGCTGGGACTAAAGGCTTATACCACCACACCTGATTTTTTTTTTTTTTTTTTTTTTTGGTTTTTTTCGAGACAGGGTTTCTCTGTGGCTTTGGAGCCTGTCCTGGCACTATCTCTGTAGACCAGGCTGGCCTCCTACTCACAGAGATCCGTCTGCCTCTGCCTCCCAAGTGCTGGGATTAAAGGCGTGTGCCACCATCGCCCGGCCACACCTGATTTTTTTAAGGCGGGGTCTCGAGTAGCTTAGGCTAGCCTAGAACATGCTGTATAGACATAGATGGCTTTGAACTCTGGATCCCCCGATCTGATTGCCTCCACTTCCTAAGTGAAGCAATTACAGAACATGTATCCGCCACTCTTGATTTCCAACTTCAGTTTTTATCACAAGTCACTTTTAATGTCACTGTTGGAGAAACATGTATTTCATCCTTCATCTCCCCTCTGTCTGATCCCTGGGACAAACTTTCTCCCACCACGAAGTGGTCTCCCAGGCTTGGGTACAGTCATGAAAATTCTGTTTTCCTCCCACCCCCACCCCCCCCACCCCATCCCCGGCTGCCAGATATCTCAAAAGTCAAAATTAATTGCAACAAGATAAGAGGTCTATCAACCCACAAAGCTACTGTTTTGAGGGTGTTTCTCTTTTTTATATGTCTCATGTCAACATTTCACAGTTTCATCAAATACAAGGTATCCTTTTTTTCCCGCCTTTTCACCAACACACCTGAGCCTGGTCTTGTTCTTACTTGCTCTTTACTTTAGGGGTAGGGACAGGCAGCATCATTTAACTACATTTCCCATGCTCCTTTGCTAGCTGAACAATCTCAGCCAATAGAAAGCATTAGGGAAGTCAGGCGTTGAGTTGGTGTTTGTGTTTCTGGCAATATCTATACAATAGCAGCCCTTCCCCCATGATTTCAGTCTGATTGAGTCCCAACCAGACCTGCCCCACAGTTCTGGGGCCTCACTTCTCCCTGGGTCCCTCCATCCATAGGAGGCGGCAACTTCCTCCAGTGGCCCAGACTCAGTGCCTCCTTTCCCAGGCTGTCCTTCCAACACTACCGACCAAGACTCTAATTTTCAGTATCCACTTCTCCCTGGGAGAGTCTCTGGAGCAGGGTGACCAAGCCAGGTCAACTCCTCCCTGAAATAGTTGGGCATAAACAACAGATAGTAGGTTCTCAGGCACTGGGGGGCCTAGAGGTTGGAGCAGATTAAATGGGGTAAAAGCTGGGACAGCATCACCAAGGTCTGCAACCCCAGTAATCGAGAGATAGAGACAGAGAATCAAGAGTTTAAAGACCAAGCCGGGCGGTGGTGGCGCATGCCTTTAATCCCAGCACTTGGGAGGTAGAGTCAGGTGGATCTCTGTGAGTATGAGACCAGCCTGGTCTACAAGAGCTAGTTCCAGGACAGGCTCCAAAACCACAGAGAGGGCTGGAGAGATGGCTCAGAGGTTAAGAGCATTGCCTGCTCTTCCAAAGGTCCTGAGTTCAATTCCCAGCAACCACATGGTGGCTCACAACCATCTGTAATGGGGTCTAGTGCCCTCTTCTGGCCAGCAGGCATACACACAGACAGAATATTGCATACATAATAAATAAATAAATAAATAAATAAATAAATAAATATTTTTAAAAAAAAACTAAAATGCTTTAAAAAAAAAAAAAAACAGAGAAACCCTGTCTCGAAAAACCAAAAAAAAAAAAAAAAAAAGAGTTTAAGGTTCCAGGTCAGCCTGGGTTATGCGAGACCCTGAAGGGGGGGGGGGGGACAGAGAGACAGACAGACAGACAGACAGACAGACAGACAGACAGAGAGACTTATAGTCTGGGCAGGAAAAAGAGCCCCAGCTGCCGGAAGACAGAGAATGGGGAAATGTTGGCCGTAGTTACAGCAGTCCAGCAGGCCCAGTAATGGGATGTAATTTTTGGGCCAGACCAGGACTCCAGCTTGGATACTTCCAAGCTGTGTGACCTAACAGGTCACTGCAGCAGAAGAGGAGAGAAGCCTCTGGCCCAGGAGGCCAGAGGCAGGGGTCAGGACATGACCCCACACCAGGTCTGTTTTGCAAACTCATTCTTCCCCAGGCCCCAGAGCATGTGATTCAGGCCCCCATGGGGGTGTTAAATAGTCACTATTTAAAACAGACTTGCTCGTGCAGCCACAACTGTGTGTGTGTCACGCAGCCTCCCACGTGACCACCCAGCCCTCCCTCGGCTGGGGCTCCCAGGAAGCCACCTCTCTGAGCCATGATCCACGGTGTTCTCATCATCCTCTGAGACTCTGAACTCGCTGATACGGATCCACTCTCGGAAGCCGACCGCCACAGAATAGTAGACATAGAGCTTGCTGGGACGCGGGAAGCGGGGGTGGAAGGCAAGGCCCAGGAAGCCACGCTCATCCCCTTCCCAGGGGGACGTCAGCACTGCTTGGCTCACGTTCAGGAAGGGCTTCTCCAGGCGAGAGCGGTCAGGCAGGTAGGTCCACACCAGCCCCACCTGCTCGGCCACGAAGAAGCGGTGGCTGCCATCCCCAGCATGTACCATGGCAACGGGGTTTCGAAGCCCATTGGCCACCTCCTCCAGACACAGCTGCAGGCAGCCCTTGGCATCAGCCACTACACGGCCCAGGTTTGAGTTCAGGTTCTCGTTGACCAGCAGGCTTGGGAAACAGTAATCCGTGTCATCTAGGGACAGGTAGCGGCATAACTTGGCCCTGTTGCTCTCCAGGGCCCAGAGCTCACGGTCAGGGGAAAGGTGTCGAAAAAGGCCTCGGCAGGTCTGCCACATGTCCAGGCAATAATCCTCACAGAGGCCAGGCACTGTCCGCAGTGGGGTGGCCGGATCCTCGGCGTCATAGAGGTGGGCTGCATAGGGCGAGCATTCCTGTAGGGACAGGAGGGCTCAGAGATGCTAGGAGGAGTGTCCACACCTGCACAATCTACTCCTTGCTTTTGTGTCACCATTCAAGGGTCACCTCCTAAGATCTGACCTTCCCCTCCACAGCTCCTTACCATTACTTCCTGGCCTCTGACTACTCAGGAAAACAAAGCACACAAAAAATAACTTTACCATGAGCTTTCATTATAGCAAAACATAGCATTCTGTTTGTGTATTGTCTGTCTTCTTTAGAATATGCACTCTGTCAGAGCAAAAAATGTTTTCTTTGCCAGGCGGTGGTGGTACACACCTTTAATCCCAGCACTCAGGAAGCAACAGCAGGCAGATCTCTGTGAGTTCGAGGCCAACCTGGTCTGCAAGAGCTAGTTCCAGGACAGGCTCCAAAGCTACAGAGAAACCCTGTCTCGAAAAATCATCTTCACTGCTATATCCCAGACCCTCACATAAACCCAGGGCAAAGTAGGCCACAGCAAATGGTGAGGGGACAGTGAAAACTAGTTTGCCTTACCGGCCTTTTGGTCACCTCAGTGTAGCTGTCAAAACACTCCTATTAGTCATTCAATGTTTATGAGTACTTCACAGGGGGGAAACTGAGGCTCAGGGCTCCCAGTGTCATTCAATAATATGCTTGGTTAGTAGCATATAGAGGCATCTGAGTTTAGTTTCAGGTCTACCCTTCTCTCTGCATAACCAGACAGCCAGCACCAGCATGTGCACTGTACCTGAGTGAGTATGGGACCCATGCCTCTGTCTTCCAGGATATTCCAGGCCATCTATCCGGCCCTCAGCTCCTGTCAGTAGGACCCTGGAGCTGCCCTCCCTTTAGCTACCAACACAGAAGTCTGTGAGATTAATGGATCTCCTTGGGTACCGCCTGGCCAGAAAGGCTCTCAGGGTCCTTTCCCCAGCACTGCCTTGGGTAGACGTCATCGCTTTTTCTGCCATACAGTTTTCCATTTGAGAGAGGCTGTGAACCTCATTCAGACCACCATGGACACTATATGGGAGGAGAGTACTGCCTCAAGAAGCAAGTCTATGAGTGTGGATAGGTAACATGTCCGCCTTCCACCCCACCCAACACAGTCTTGCCATGTGACTGGTCCTTTTGGAGTCAGTCACATGACCCCTTCTCAGACCATCTCCCTGCTGGGCTCACAGCAAAACACTCCAGAACCCAGGCTCCTTTTCTCTGGTGTAACAGACCCTTGTTGACACTCCCCCCAACCCCAGGGCTGACTCAGTTGCCCAGAGTTTTAGAGATGCAATTCCTAGATAGAGAAGATGACCACAATATACACTGTCTGCTCTTACAGGAAACTAGGCTGGGGTTGAAGCAGAAACCTCAGTAGAAAGCAAGAGAACAGCAAACTTCAGAGCTGTGTTCCTAACTCCAGGGTTCCTACTGCAATAGCTTCAGTCGTTCCATGGGCTGTCTGTCCCCAGGTCCCTCTATGGCTGTGCACTAAGTCCCACCTGACAAGTTAAGGGCCCTGTGTGTTCTTGACATTTCTGCTCACTGCCCCCATCTAAAGTGTCATCTTTCACATGCTCCACCCTGGATTCCGTATGACAGGCCGGATAGCCAAACCCCGGACTCTGTACAGGGCCAGCCCTCCCGGGATCCTCTGGATGCTCTCGTTGGCCAGCAGTAGCCCAGGGAAGACCAGAGAAGACTGTGTACACACAGGCTTCACTTCCTTTCTGCAGGCCAGTGTCACTGTGACTCTGGTGTCATAGGTGAGGAACTTAGGCTCACAGTGGCCACATGCCCAGAATTGGCCAGACCAGGACTCAGCCCCAAGCTTTACGACAGCCAGCCTTGTGCTCTTGACACCAACACTTCACTCAACCACCACCAACACTTTCCACCAACACGTCACTGGCCTTGGCTCCAAAGACACAAGAGAGACATGATATAACCGGATAGCCCTTTCCTTGTGGGAACTCAGCCAGAACACACGGAGGACACAGGGGCTCTGGGGACCTGGTGAGGCCCTTGGCCCACACAGTAAGCACTGAGTCTAGCAGCGTCTTACATATAGTTTCTGTATTCTTTCTCACACACAGTATGAGTGTGGGGCTCAGACCAGAGCCACCCAGAATTAGTAAAGGACAAAAGGGGCAGGAATTGCTGCTGGTAGAGAGGGTGGGCAGTCACTGGACCTTGTGTCCAGGGCTAAGCAGTGAAACATCCACAGGAACAAGGCGCCTGTCATCTGAATGCCCCAAGGTTGCCCCAGATCATTTACTGACACTCATGACTCATGGCCTCAAGTCATGCCCCCCCCCACCCGGAGCAACCACACTCCGCCAGGAAGACTGAGTCTTGCACACAATGTTCTCTCTTCGGGATGTTCCTTCCACCCTCACTTCCACATCTGGCAAACTCCTATTCATGATGCAAGGCCCAACCCACAAGTCTCCTCCTTCCTCCTTTTCCCAGGGTAGGCTCCTGGCCCTTGGATGCTCATGACACTCTGTCTCTGACTCACACATAGATTTTTCACCTGGTAATCTGTCATCTCCAGAAGCAACTTTCCTCTCCTACCATCACCTCTGCTTCGCCAGAGGTGGCCTGGCTGCTCGGCCTGGCCATGACTCAGTTATCTCGTTGCCTGCCTGTCCACCCCATAGACTGTGGGGCCCTTGGGGGCAGACATCCCAAGATCCAGCACACGATTTGACTTCAGGGCTGGAGACAGTGTTAGAGGTGACTACAGGAAGGGCTTTGGAGTCAGAGTTTATGCTGCATGTGTTTGGTAAACTCCTTACTTTTCTATGCCTATGTCACCCTCTTTATGGTTGGAGAGAACTCCGGCGCATAGAGTTGTTGTGAGCAATGAACCGAGACGTCATGTGCCTGTTCAGTAAATGTTCAAATAAGACGAACCCCAAGGGAGTAACTCAATGATCACTCTTCCAGGCTGTCCCAGATTTCCGAGGGCCTTTGGCTACTTGCCCCGGAACCTTGGGAAAATCCCTTGCTTGTGTGTGTGTCTGTCTGTCTCTCGAAATGAATGGAGAGACTTTGGAGACTAAGTCTGTGACTTGCCAACTGCCTCTGGGACCAGAGGACAGAACCAACTCCTCGCTGGCTCTGGAGACATGTCTGTCGAGTGCCAGAGTCTGCTAAGCCCTGCTACAGATCACAATACAGTAACTCTGCTGATGAACTCTTGCGTTCAGCTACTGAGAAGTGAACCACGTGTGAGCCACACACCAGCCACAGTGAGGTTGCCATCTGCAAACAAAGCCTGACATGCTTTCCCAGAGGAAGGCAAAGCCTCAAGAAGGGGCCTCCTGCCTCCGCCAGACAGCGGTGAGCCCTAAATGGTCCCTGATGGAAACCTATAGGTAAGGCTCCTTGAGACCGGTGGCAGGGACCGGGGTGCTCCCACACTCTCCCAGGACCTCCTCAGGGAGACCATGCCACAGCCTTGGCAGACCGCCTGATGCAAGCTCAGTCCAGACATGAGGTCACCCCCAGAGACGCCTCCCTGGAGGTATGAGCAGACGCTCTACCACAGGCTGCTCAGGCCAAGCCATTTTGGGCAGGTTCCCGAGGAAAAAGAGGTGTCTCCTGCCAGCAAACACCCTCAAGATTGGTTCCTTCCTGCTCCGGGTCCTGTCCAGCCCAGCACATGGTGAATACCCTCTAAGTAAAGGTGACCTGGGTGCTGCAGGGAGACCAGTGGGCCTGTTCGGGTGGCCCTCCAGGTTGGGGAGAGAGGCAGGTGATTCACCACACACTCGGGCTCTCTTGGGGTGCACCAAGTGGAGGCTTGGGAACTACAACACGAACAGAACACTAGAGTACTATGCTGTCCCCACACCCTTCACCTTTTGTCACCCAGGTGCCCTCTCACAGGGCCATGTCACCCCTGAACAAGTGCCCACCTTTCCTGAGGCAGCCACTGATTCTCACCCTCTCCCTGGACTGGCAAGAAAACTATAGAGGAATTACCTATTAATTTAATCCCAATTAAACCACTCTACCTGAGTCATTTAATTTTCATGGCATGGGGTCGGGGGCAGAAATCTGTCCCTGTTTTAAAGATAATGTAACTGAGAGACTACCATGAGTCACAATCAGGAGAGGCCTTGATAGCAAACCCATCAGGCTCCTTTATCTCGCTCCTCTAGCCTGCCCCCTGCTGGCTGGGACTGGAACTTTGTACTGCTTGGTAGGGCCCCTTCCACTGATGAATCCCTTCACTTCTTGGTCCAAGGGCTTAGGGCCTTGGGGTTTCCCTGCCAGGCTGGCATTTCTGCGATCAGATCAGTCACGTAGAGGAGACCCAGGGGGCTGTGGTCAGAAACTTTACATTAACAAAAGGAAAATGGTAGTTCAGTGTGGATCGAAGTAAGGGCTCCACCATCAGAGGGGAGATGAGGTGGGTAACGGAGGTCTAGGGAGGGAACCTCTCCCAGGTGAGAAGCCCGACCAATAGTAGGACGGAAAGGTGGATGTTTTAAGCAGGTACAGCCCTGCAGGCCTTGGTCCACCCTGGCACTGAGAAATGGACTCACAGACTGCTCCACTGGGTATGACTGAGGATGGGTCCTTATTGGGATCAGCAGTACAAAGACTGTCCACACAGTAATGCCCCATATTTGGGACACATCCTCTTCCCATCCATCCTGCCTTCCTCGGTCTAGCAAAGACTTCACCCTGGTACCTGACAGGGGCAGGGCTCTCTGAGTTGGGGCACCGGATGCAGATTCCAGGACGTCCCAAAGAATGGGAGTCTCTACTCTCTAAGAGGAACTGAGGTTCCTAAAAGACCCAACATCTTTGCAAAGCAAATGAATGACAAGAACTGTCCTGAGATGCCTGGTGCCAGTCAAGTCATTCCCTCTAGGACATTCAAACTCCAAAGTCCTGTACCTACTCCTAACCTTCGCCTCTGTGGGGTTGCCATCACCTCCAAAATCCAGGATCCACACTCCTAAGACTCGCCCCTGTGGAGTTGCCATTGCCTCAAACTCTGGGACCCACTCCTAAGTCTTGCCCTTATGGGGATGCCATCGCCGCTCCGCCCCCCCTCCCGCCCCTCCCGGCGATCAGGGCCCCGCGTGCCCTGCCACCGTGAGCCCGCTCACCTGGCACAGCAGATCCAGCGCGTAGCCGGCACACGTCGCCCACATCCCGGCGTCCAGACGAGCCTCCAGGGCCCGGAAGCGCCGGGCCAGCGCTGCGTCCTGCTCCGCAGTGCAGCAGCCGAAAGCGGAGTACTGCGCGCAGAAGCTCAGCGGCTGTGGCGGCCGGAAGGGCGGCCTGAAGTCCAGGCACTGCGGGTGTGCGGCGGCCAGCAGAGCACGCAGAGCCAGCAGCGCCCCGGGCCCGATCCCGGCCACAGCCCATCGCCCCGCCATCCGCACCGCGGTCTGCTGAGAGAGAAGCAGAAGGCCAGCCAGCCCCGCCGGGGCGCCCCCGGGAGCCGCGGGCCGCGCCCCCCGAGCGCCCGCCTCCTGCCTGGCTTGCACCCTCCCGGACTTCTCGAGGGGAAGTTGTTGGACTCGCCTCGCAGGCCTCGAATCCGATGACCCCTCTCGCTGGGGGTCACCCCTGCTTGGGGGCACTCTGCAGGACTGGAGAAGCGGGGCACAGCCTGGTTCCCGCTCTGCGGGCAGCCCCCTCCTCTTAGCCCAGAGTCTTTCCAACAAGAGCAGTGACCTGGCGTATGGGAAGCCCCAGTCGCCCAGTTTCACAGTTCCACCTCTGAGTCTCAGCTTCTTCTCTTGGGGTGCTACTTACCCACCAAGGAGCAAGAACTCCAAAGCCCAAGGCAGGGACTAGTCCCACCTCTCTGAGCCAGACAGGAACTTTAGCGGAGCATTTCAAAATGGAGGTGTGGTGCAAAAGACAGGTCGCTTTGCCCGGGACCTCACAAGAAGTGAAGGCTGAGCCTGGGATGGGAGGGAAAAGGCGGCAACCCCACACAGTCCATCCTTGGCTCTGCCCATGGTTCTCCCCTGACCATGGAACTCTCCACCCGCAGCCCCGAAACCCATGGGCCTTCGTCCTTTCCACATAGGAAACGGGCTCCAACCCGCAGCTCTAGCCTCAGCTTCACCCCAAGAGCGCACACGTGCACTGCCTCATGGGCCCGGAATTCCATAACACCAAAACCCCTGGCACTTGCCCACAAGGACTCCAGCCCTGGCTTCTCCCTGGAGTACCCATCCTGCCGTTAGTTCTGTCGCACACATTCACATGTCACATGGTCTTCACCACCAAGCTCAGATACCCATTCTCTGCTGTTTCAATCTGTCTGCCCGAGTTGTTGGTTAGTGCGGTTAGTGTCGCTTGGATTCCACAGACCTGTGGTCGGAATCTGGAAGGGAGTTGGGGTGGCAGCGATGAGGCAAAGCCCTCATATAAGACCAAACATCTCTGAGTATTTAAGAGTGAGCACATTTAACTCACAACTGATGACAAAGAGGTTGAGAAGTCACGGGGGAGAGGGGGGCAGTGAGACAGCGGCATTTCCGACAGCAGCAGTGGTCCACAAAGTCCCTGATGGCAGGAGGTAGCTAGACAAGAAATTATGACGAACAGCTGCAGCTGGCCCCTCGAGGGTGAGGGGGGAGACAGCAGGGGAAGAGCACCCCACTTCTCCCTCCAGTCGGTATTTTTTAGAAGCTGAACTGAACAAGAATGGCTGAATCGGAGTCTGGCAAATATGGTCTTGGTGGATGGGTGGCAGCACAAAGTGCCTGGCAGCTGCATAACCCCTGGAAAATGAGGCACAGGCAGGGAAGGACATGGGCACAGTTCCAGGCGGGTGGTCAGAAGAGGGTGATGATAATACAGCATTTGGGAAAATTCCTGGAGGCTGGATGTGGATGAAGATGAGCAAGAAGCTAGGGGTGGCACAATCTTGGGGTCATGTTCTTACAAGTTTACCGCTAAGAACCCGTCTAGGGTCTCAGGGAAGGGCCAGGAAAGTCCCCTTGTGGTTCTGGCAAGAAGAGGGAAGAGGGCTGTCAGGACGCTGAAGCAGGCTGTCTCTCCAGGAGAAAGAGCTCTAAGACTCAGCACAGAGAGAGAGGGCAGCCCTTAACATTGGTGACTCCATAAAAGGTCTGTCAACTCAGACACAGTGTGAGGGCCACAGCCCAGAGACATAGTGTTAGAGACATCCCCTCTCCGCCATCAGCAGGCCCCATTGTAGGCAGTGGGTGACAGCTGCCTACCCTGCAGGCCACTGTCTGAGGAGCAGCGTGTGGGAACCTCAGGCAACAGGAGCAACTGTGCAGACACTGTGGGTGCCTCAGGCCTCTTGCACCCCATTAGAGGCTAAATCCTAGCTAGGCTCATATTATGTCCTCACTCCAAAGCTCTATGATCCCTCAGTTTGCATTGTCCAGGACATCACATCTGCTTTCCCAAACAAAACAGAACAAACAAACTAGCAAAACAAATAAACCAAGGCATGATGCAAGGTTTGAAGAAAAGTCTGACTGAAAAGGTCAAACTTCCATGACACATATGCTCTTGCTGTGGGACAGGGAATTCGGGAAAATGATGATTCAGACGTTGAGACTCCATTGTAAACAGGGAACTGTGGGGGAAGAGATGGGTGAGGTAAACACAGACGAAGCTGTCAGATAGAGGAGTGGAAGGCCAACTGGGGGAGGCCCTGGCTTCCATCCCCAGCAAAACATGCTTTGCAAAAGCAAATTAAAGGGGCTGTAGAGACAGGGTAGTGAGTAGGTGCTTCCCTTGAGAGAATGAAGCTCTGAGTTCAACCCCAAAATCTGGGGGGAAACCCAGGCATGATGGCACACAACTATAATTCCAGTACTGGAAAGAGAGAGTCTGGTGGGTCTGTGGGGTTCTCTAACCAGCTAGCCTAGCCTACTTGGTGAGTTTCAGGCCAATGAAATAAACAAAAAACAAAACAAGATTAAAGATCTAACAGAGGACCAGTGAGACAGCTTGTTAAGGAAAGATAAACCCCATCTAGCCTGAATTCAATCCCTGAGACCCACATAAGGAGAACTGACTCCCACAAGTTGTCCTCTGAACCTCCCCTCATTGCACACACACACACACACACACACACACACACACACACGCAAGCATACACATGCACGCACACGCACGCACGCACTCACACACATGCACAACATGCACACACTATGGTGTAAAAGTAAGTAAATGTAGCCAGGTGGTGGTGGCGCACGCCTTTAATCCCAGCACTCTGGAGGCAGAGGCAGGCGGATCTCTGGTCTACAAAGCAAGTTCCAGGACAGGCTCCTAAGCAAGAGAAACCCTGTCTCGAACTGCCCCCCCCCCAAAAAAAGTAAGTAAATGTAATTAAAATATTAAAGATATAGTAGAAACAAAAAGCATTGTGGCCAGGTGGTGGCGCACACCTTTAATCCCAGCACATGGGTGGCAGAGGCAGGCGGATCTCTGTGAGTTCAAGGCCAACCTGGTATAGAGCGAGCTCTAGGACAACCACAACTGTTCTATAGAGAAACCTTCTCTCTGAAGGAAAACCAAAACAAACAAACAAATAACACACACACACACAAAGCATCATAACAGAAATAAAAATGTGCCAGGTGATCTCACTTTACGCTCATGTCTGTGTGGGTGTTCTGCCTGCACTGCACGTGTATGCCTGTGCACCACATGCATGCCTAGTGCCTAGGAGGCCAGGAAAGATGGGACTGGAGTCACAAAGAGTTGCAAGCCACCATGGGAGCGCCGGGAAGCAACCTTGCTCCTCTGGAGGAACAACTAGTACTCTTGACCTCTGAGCCTCTCTCCAGTCCTCAGGTGAACGCCTAGGATTCAACGCTGCTGCTGAGGAAACATCTGTGTGCTGTACTGGTCCGCAAAGAGGGATAAAAGTCAGGAACAAACAAGCGGGGGACAGCAAAGGACATTTCAAAAGCTCTCATAAATGACGAATCGGGAACCGGAAAGAGAACAGAGTGAGAAAGGAGAAGAAACGTCTGAGGTAAAAACGGTCGTCTTCTAAAACATAGAACAGACACCAAAAGATAGATGCAGGCGTCTAAGAAGCCTACGATTTCTTAAATAACAAAGAATCTACAGAATCGTATTGCATTCAAACTGCAGAAAACCCAGAACAAAGAGATATCTTCAGGAAGTCACCGATGGGGTGGGGTGGGGTGGGGTGGGGGCTGAACTGTAGAGTGACAGGAAGAAGCACAGTGAACTATCACCTCCTAAGAAGCCTGGGGGTCGGGGAGAGAGTTGGGGGTACACAGAGCTCAAAGAAAGAAATCCGCCCACCTAGAAGCCTGTGTCCATCTACCATCTACCAAACCTGAGGACCTGAGTTCAGTCCCTGAGACCCGCATGTTAGATGTGAACCAATTCCTGCAAGTTGCCCTCTGACCTCCACACGTGCACCATGGCACCCTGGCCACCACTGATTGAATAAATGTATAAAAAAATTAAACTTTTAATATTAAAAAAAGCTTTTTAACTGATAGTGGATCAGAAACTTTCATGGCTGGTCCTGATTACAATAGTTTTATTAAAAAACGTTAAAAAAGCATGTGTGTGTGACCAAGGGTGTCTGCATGTAGGTACCCTTAGAGCCCAGAAGAGGGGATCATATCCACTGGAGCTCGAGTTTGTGAGGTTGTGAGCTATCCAACATGGTTGTTAGGAACTGAACTCCAGTCCTCCAGCCCCTGCAAGAGCAGCAAGCACCCTTAATCCCTGAGCCGTCTCTTCAGCCAACCTATTTTGTCTTTTGAGTGGAGAATTGGGTAGAAGTGAGGCCAAGCCACTGCTGTCCCACTCCAAGCCAGCCCCATAGTTTTAGGGCTCCAGGACATCATGGGGGTCCAGAAAGACTTCTGACATATCCAGGGGCCCAGTGGGCACTGTCAGCTGCCTCAGCCAGGACAGGTGGGCCAGTAAATCTGTACCCAAATGCCTCTCTGGCTAGAATTCTCAGTGTGGGCCGCGTCCACAGACCAGCCACTAATTACAGGCTGGAGGGCTCTTCCCCCATAAATGGGAGCTACTGGGCCACCAGCCGCCCCATCTGGGGAGAAGACAGTGGTCCATTCATTGGTCAATCCATCCTCGGGTCAGGCCTCCTCTGGCCACTTTGAGCCAGGGGTTGCAAGCCTTGCGCGAGGTCAGCCCTGGGACTTCGGGGTGAGCTGGCTGCTACTCCACTACTCTGGACCCGTAGGGTGTGGATCAAGGCAGGCAAGGAGCCAGACAGGAGCCCACAGCTTTTATAAATATTTCACATGTGTGGAAAATTACTAAGAACAGAGGAAGAACGCCTAAGAACACACTCCAGACTTTGCCAATGGCCGTATTCAGTCACATTCCCTTCAGATGCCTGAATTAAAAATAAATAAATAAACAAACACCACTTGATGATCTGCATACCACACTGTGAGATGTGATGTATTTTAGCATTTAAGAGCTCTGTGGGGTTGGAGAGATGGACCAGTGGTTAAGAACACTAACTACTTCCGTAGAGGGCCTTGGTTTGGTTGCTGGCATCCACATGGGGCAGCTCACAACTGTACTGATATTTTGTTTGTGTTTTAACAAATAAAGCTCTCCTGAAGAATAGAGAAGCAGTGTACCCAGTCACTAGAGAGACCTTTTACCTCTACCGAATCCTCAGACCAAAAGGACGATCCTGTCCTCAGACTGCCTCCTCTGACTTCATCCTCAGACTGCTGCCTCAGACTGCACTGAGTTTCTGTCTTCTTCTGCCTTATATTCCTCTCTCAACCCAGCCATATCCTTTCCTGTCTCCACCTCCCTAGTCTTGGGATTAAAGGTGTGTGCCACCACTGCCTGGCCTCTAGTGGCATAGCTCTGCACTCTGATCTTCAGGGAAGCTTTGTTAAAAAAAACACACAAAATATCACTACACACACCTGCCTATAACTCCACTTCCAGGAGATCCAGCACCCTCTTCTGACCTCCCTGGTCACCGGGCACACGTGGTGTACAGACATACACACCATCACATACTCATATACATAAAAATAAATAATAAACTAGGTATGGTGGCAGACAGTTTTAATTCCAGCACTTAGAAGGCTGAGGCCACTGTATTTTTATAAATTCAAGACCAGCCTGATCTACATAGTAAGACACTGTCACAAAACAACAAAAGAAATCTTTAGAGAAAAAGCAATTTTAGAGCCTGATGTGGTGGCACACGCCTTTAATCCCAGCACTAGGGAGGAAGAAGCAGGAGGAGTTCTGAGTTCCAGGTCAACCTGATCTACAGAGCAAGGTCCAGGTCAGCCAGGACTACAGAGAAACCCTGTCTCAAAAATATATTTGGGGATATGTGTGTGTGTGTGTGTTTGTGCATGTGTGTATATTTGTTTATGTATATATGGGGAAAATATATATATGAAAATATATTTGTTATGGGGGGGAAACACTAGGTGGCCAGTAAAATGGTCCAGAGGTAATGCCGTTTGTCACCGAGTCAAATAGTCTAAGTAGTATCCCCAAGACCTGTATGGTAGAAGGAGAGACTGACTCCTACAAGTTGTCCTCTGATCTACACACACACAATGTAATAAAAAAATGATTTTTATATTTTTGGTTTTTTGAGACAGGGTTTCTCTGTGCAACTGCCCTGGTTGTCCTGGAACTCACTCCGTAGATCAGTTTGGCCT